ACATACTAGAAAAAATATGGGTGAATTCCTCTGTAACCTAAGTGTAGGAAAAGCCTTTCAAATTTTGCCTCAAACCCAAATGCAATAAAGTAAAAGATTTATGTATTTGATAATATTAAAAAAAAAAAACTTTCCATGACCAAAAATTACCATAAGTAGAGTTGAAAGGCAAATGTAAACTGGGAAAAAAGAATTTGTAACTTGTAGCACAGAGAGAAGGCTATCACTGTTAATGCAGAGAGAACTTTAAAACACTGAATAGAAAAAAGATTTAAAAATCTAATAGAAAAATGGGCAAAAGATAATAAATAATTCATAAACATGACAGATATGAAAGATACTCAACTTTACTTAAGAGAAATGCAAAATGAAACACTCTGAGATTCTACTTCCCATCTATTAGACTGGCAAAAATTCAAAACGTTGACAATATATTCTGTTAGTGACTCTATGAGGAAATATTCACCCTCATATTATTATGGCATATATTACGGTCAGAATGGTTCATCCTCATAGAGGGGAATGTGGTGGTATTTAACAAAATTACACATGCAGTCAACCTTCGGCCCTGCAGTCTGATTTCTAGGAATTTATCCTGAAGATAAACCTTCAACAACACTGAAATATTCATACACAAGTCTATTCATTGCAGCATTATCTGTAATGGCAAAACACTGAACAGTATGCAAATGCTCAAACAGGAAATTGATTGAGCAACTTTGTGGTACACACAAGGAGAACAACGCCGCTGTGGAGAGAGAACTGTGAACTGATATGGAACGAATTCCAGAATAAATTAAGTAGAAGGCAAAGGCAACAAAGAATATACAGAATGCTACCTTTTGTGTCGGAAAGAAATGGAAATTAAAAAAAAAATGCATATGTCTGCTTAGTTTTGCAAAAATAAGCACAGGAAGGATAAATCAGATTATCAAGCATCAAAATAATAAATGGTAACAAAGGACTATAATCCGTTAACTAGAATAAGAGTCTAGTGAGTCCATGATGCTAATCAATCATTCAGAACAGGGAAAATTCTTTCTTATAGCAGAATGTTGATAGAAAAATGGAGTGGTTTTTTCTTTTTTTTTTTAAAAATTTTTTTTTCAACGTTTACTTATTTTTTGGGACAGAGAGAGACAGAGAATGAACGGGGGAGGGGCAGAGAGAGAGGGAGACACAGAATCGGAAACAGGCTCCAGGCTCTGAGCCATCAGCCCAGAGCCCGACGCGGGGCTCGAACTCACGGACCGCGAGATCGTGACCTGGCTGAAGTCGGACGCTCAACCGACTGCGCCACCCAGGCGCCCCTGGAGTGGTTTTTTCAAATCACCATTTTACAGCCATCATAGTAATGACTGATTTGGGCAGAAATGATCAATGTATATGAGTGAAAATGAGTGAAAGTTTGATAAGGAAAAGAATATTTACATGGATTTGAAGTATCTCTCTGTAAAAGTTTTTACTAACTACAAAACGAAAAATAGTAACAATAGGAAAGAAACTTAGGGGACTCCACTTAACCAAGTGGTTGAAGTTAACACAATCAGTAATGGGACAAATAGATACCACGTACTTCCTGTGATGCACTGAGAATGACAAAGTATCATTTATGTAGTATTCCTGTCAATACTGAATCTACCATGAGGATACATCGGACAAACTCAGACTGAGGGACGTTTTACATTAATTGGCCTATACTCTTAAAGGTGCAGAGAACTACTCCAGATTATCAAGAACTCAGAAAACATGACAACTAAATGCAGAGCAATCATCTGCTCTGGAAATTGGACTGGAAAAAAAAAATTGTTACAAAGAACAATATGGGGACAGTTGGTGAAACTGGAATGGGGACTATGGATTAAATAAAGTTTTTATTAATGTAAAATTTCATCAATTTGATGAATGGTCTTTAAAAACTTTTAATGTGTGCTTATTTTTGAGAGAGAGAGAGAGAGAGAGAGAGAGAGAGAGAGAGAGAGAGAGAGAGAGAGAGAGAGAGAGAGAGAGAGAGAGAGAGAGAAGGCAAGGGGCAGAGAGAAAGGGAGACACAGAATCCAAAGCAGGCTCCAGGCTCTGAGCTGTCAACACAGAGCCAGATGTGGGGCTCAAACTCACAAACCACAAGATCATGACCTGAGCCAAATCAGATGCTTAACCAACTGAGCCACCTAGGTGCCCCAATGAATGAATTGTCCTAAGAGAATTCTATGTTAAAAGAAAAAAATGCCCTTGGTCTTAGGAAATACACACTGAAGTGTTTAAGAGTAAAGGAGTGTGATATATGCATATACTCTCAAATTGTTCAGAGAAAAATGTTCGATATAACAAGCAGAGAATGGTAAAGCAAATGTAGCAAAATGTTAACAACTGGTAACCTGGGTAAGAGGTATATGAAAGTTTTTTCTTATAATTTCTTATAAATTTGAATTTTTTTCAATGAAGTTAAAAATTATTTTTCCAAACTGACAGTTTGAACACTGGTATATTATTGTGATGTATATTTCTTTAATTATGTGTAAGGGTGACTAAGCTTTCATATGTTTATTTACATTTGAATATCTCCTTTCATACATTGCTTATTCATACACTTTACCTATTTTTATATTGTGTTTTTCATGTTTTTTCTCACTGAATTTGTATGACTTTTATGGAAAAAATTTTCTTTCTGTCATGTATGCCCCATGTATGAGTTTGACGCTAATTTTTTGACTTAGTTTATGGTGTTATTGTTTATTGTTGTTATAAAGAACAAAAATTCTCAATTTTTATGCAATCAAATTTACCAATCTTTTATGGTTTCTGAGTTAAATCCTGTCTGAAAAGGATTAAGCCACCGTAGTTTAATTGCTATGAATTATTGTGTTGATGACTTCTAAATTTTAATCTCAGTCTAACCTCTTTTCTAAGATACAGACTCCTAAACAGTGGCCCGGCTCAGTATCTCTATTTAGACATCTCACGGGTGTCTCAAACTGAATATATGTAAAATGAAACCCATGATATTATCTCCTCAAATTGCTCCCTTCTCCAGTACATTTGTAGTACAAGTTCTCTGCTGAGTCAAACAGTGTGCAAAAGCGTGTAATTTTGAAATATACTGCCTAATTTTCTTTCAAGAAGGTTGCATCGATTTATGTTCACACTAGCAATGCAGCTCTACTGCCTTGTCTCCATGGCCTTGTCAACAGGGGAAGGAATCAAACTTTTGGATATCTGTAATCTGATAGATTACAATTTTGTAATCTGAGAAATAAAAAATAGTACTTTGGTATAGTTTTGTGTTTCAGTTATTCTGAAAAAGCTACAACAGATTTTCATATGTTTAAGAGCAATCTGAATTTGTTTACTGCCCATTTTTTGGTTAGATCATTGGTCTAGGTTATTGAACAACAGGATCTCTTGCTATATTAGAGTATTTACTGTGATAGGATATTTACTGTGATAGCTGCAAACAGTTTGCACTGTTTTTTTAAAAAATGTTTTTTAACTTATTTTTGAGAGAGCACGAGTAGGGGAGAGGCAGAGAGAAGTTGGGGACAAAGGATCCAAAGTGGGCTCTGTGCTGACAGCAGCAAGCCTGATGCAGGGCTTAAAAACATGAACCACGAGATCATGACCTGAGCCAAAGTCGGATGTTCAACCCACTGAGCCACCAAGATGTCCCTGTCTTTTTTTTTTTTATGTTTAATTTTGAGAGAGAGAGAGAGAGCGCGCGCGCGCGCGCGCGCGTGAGTGGGGGAGGGGTAGTGAGAGAGGGAGACACAGAATCGGAAGCAGGCTCCAGGCTGTGAACTGTCAGCACAGAGCCCAAGGTGGGGCTCAAACTCACAGACTGCGAGATCATGACCTGAAGTCGGATGTTTAACCGACTGAACCACCCAGGTGCCCCCGCCTTTTTTAAAGGATTTTATTTTTAAGTAATTGTGAGGCTCGAATTCACAACCCTGATATCCAGAGTCGCAATGCTACTGACTGAGCAAACCAGGCACTCCCTGCTTTGTCTTTAACTTTTGTCTGGCTACTGTTATTTTGTTTTACCATGCAAAAATTTTTTATTTTTATGTAGCCAAATCTATCAATATTTTCTTCTATGCCTTCTGGATTAGTCAGTTAGAAAGGCCTTTCTCACTTCAAGATTAAAAAGGAATAGCTCCATGTCATCTTCTAATATTTTCATGGTTTCATGTTGTATGAAATGAAATCTTTGATCCATAGGAGGTTATCCTGGTGGAGAGAAGAGTGACTGATATTAAAGTGTAAAAGGGACCATGTCTTTGCTTAAAGTCCTTTAATTGTTTTCTGTTGCTCTTAAGATTAAATTTCAAATTCTTAACATGGTCTATTAACTCCAGTGTGATCGGGCTCTGGTCTTTCTGTAAAATCGTTATGTAATGTCTTCCCTTTTGCTCTCTGGGTCTCACTGGGTTTCTTTCAGTTTCTCAATCTAGTTATGCTTTTTCATGTCTCAGAATTTGGCTTGATCTGTTCCAGAACCAAAGTTAAATCTGTCTGTAATATACTGCTAAATCAGAGTTTAATAGTATAGGCTTCTTCTTTGTAGTACCTATTAATTATAATTAATTATTTGTGTGATTATGCATTAATGGCTATCCTCTCTGCTAGATTATAACCTCCATGAGAACACTCTGGGCATCTTGTTTACTACCATATCTTATCATTATCTTTATTAATGAATTAATAAACTGAATACAGTTTATTAATGAATCAATGAACTGTTTTCTGACTTATAAACTAGTTTATGAATATGGCTAGGGAGAATCAAATCCTTAAACCTTAACTTTTGCTGACAGAACATAAAATTGGCCTTTAAATAAAAACCAGGCTGAGAATTGATAATAACTTATTTCTTTGATATTATAAGTTAGAATCCACAGTAAATACCCAAACAGGTACATGTTAGTTAGCAGAACGTGAACTCATATTGCTCTCCTGACAAATTCATTATGAATGCATTCAAACCACCAAGTATAACTCACCTCTTGAAAGTTATGTTGAGTGAACTTGTCTGCTATCCTTAGCAACTCACGACATGAATGTGTGTCAGCAAAAGCCCGAATGCCCAGGCAATTAGAAGGATCTAATTGTCTCTTTAAGAATTCACAGCAGGCTTCCTGTATTTCTGCCAACTGGAGGAGGCAAGCAGCTGGCAGAAGGGTCTGAACATTGCCCTCTTCCACAGTTATCTGGGAGGTATACGCAAAGTCAATCAGTAGTTCCATAGCCCTCTCATCTATGTCTCGGATCACTACTTCTGTCTGACGGCTTTCTGCCAATTCTCCTGTAAACATAGCTCGGAAGTAGGGACTGCAGGCTGACAAAATGACTCGATGGGCATATATCTTCTTAGCGCCCACAACTAGCACCACATCGCATAGCTCCCGATGCTTTCTCAGAAGATTAATCACTTCCAAGGTTTGTCGAGGGTGCTTGTCTGAAATATAGGGCATGCGGGCGGGTTGGGGAACCCCTTCTGGCAGTTTATTGGGGTCTCCAAGGGTGCAGCGGCTTGTTACATCCATTCCAGTCTCTCCTGGTCGAATGTTGGTACACCTACAGGAATGGGGGAAAGGAGGGAGAAGAGATGATGGCAATATTATTAGAAACTCACTTTTGCCATAAAGTGTTCATAAGTAAAGGGATAAAGAAACCTGCAGGTAATCAAAAGGGAGAACTAAGTCCCCAAAGGGCTTCCATTCTAAGAACACGGGAACTCATAAACTTCCTTAAAGTCTTCTGAAAAACAGCATTAATGCCAAATCAGAGTACTTTCACTATGCACTCCCATAAAATAAAGGACAATTCCTTTTCCATCTCAGAAGTACTCAGATTAGAATGTCTTAGGCCACATCTTTTACAAACTACCTGTAATACATCAATAAAAATTTATGAAAAACATTTGTAAATTATTCTTTCTGCACAAAAAAGAGCTATGGACTTTAATTCCTTAATCTGGCTTAACCAAAATGTTGATATTTCTTTTTCTACAACACAGAAATGTTTCTATCTCATTATAATGGCAATATTTTAGACTTCTCTCAAGTTCAGCCAAAGGTATAAAATATAGCTCATGCTACATGAAAGGAACAAAAAGGGAGGCCAGGGCCCCTAAAATTAACTTTATATGTAGTACTGTATTTCCTTTATTCTAATATGCAAAGTTTTCACAGTTTATACAGGTGATCACAATGGTCCTAAGTAAAAAACAAACTAAAACTAAACTAAAAAAAAAAAAAAAAAACTAAAAAAAAAAAAAATCCTAAGCACAGGTTACAAAAACTAGTGTTAGCAGGATGCTACAGATAATTACTGGTGGCCAGACATTCTTTTGTCTGTGAATGAGAGGAAAGCTTAGATAGAAGTTTGTAACATTAAAGAAAACTGAGGTATGGACAAATTATATGGACAAATACATGCTAGAATGTCAGCTAATAAAAGCTTTGCATATGTTTAATGCAACTTACACTACTAAGAAGTTATTAAACGAACCATATGACTTATAAGTGAGGAAATATAGTAAATAACTATGTAGTTAATCATATTAGTTTGTTCCTAGAAAGGGAAAGAATCAAACCAAATATTTTAGAAGCCATTCACAGGGAGAAATGAGTTAAAATTCCCCCCCTTGTATAAGTTCAACCATAGATGTCTCAAAAATATTTTACCATATCTTAAATTAAGATTTTCTTTTTCCCTTCAAGTCTAACCACTCTGAGGGTTGGGTACTATGGCTACTCTGTACCAGCAGCATAAAGTTTCATACACTGTAGAAAAGATGGGCCTGGGTTGAAATGCTAGTACTGACAATTACTGGGCAAGTTACTTATCCTCTGTAATCCTCAATTTCTTCAGCTGTAAAATGGGCATCTATCCTATATTGGCAAAGATTAAAGGAGATAATGCACATAAAAGCTTCCAGTTCAGGGCTTGCTACATTTTAAATTGCAGCTATTGTAGTAATAGAATTATTACGTTCCTTTCCAATGAGGTCATTATGCTTATCCATGTTAGAAATCAAGTCTGAGTTGATATGCTTCAATTAATATTTAAATAAATTTTGAATTAATAGTAATCCAGCAAGTCTGGATTGAAGTTTACCTTTACTTAGAAATCTTTTCTTCACAGTTTATGAACATTCAAGTGGGAAAGAAGATGGCAGGTGAAATAGTTTTTTAGTAGGATTCTTAGGAGCCTCTGTACAAAGATTTTGTTAGACTAATTTGGGGACAGAGATATTAAATCTGACAATCAGCCTCATTTGTTTAAAAGTACCATATATTTCCAACTGTTCCCACCAAATCAGTCAGAATCAAGGAAGGTTTACTATGGTTACAAAAGAAATATATAGGTCCATAAATAGACATTCCCCACTTTACAAATGAATACTTTTCCCAACATTTAATTTTATGTTAGGTATTTGGAGGCTTATATACTTCTGTAGCAAGAGTGCTGTAAATGGGGGCTAGGTTTAGTTGTAAAATAAACTTAGTGTGTCATAAGCAGCACTGAAAAAATGAAACATAAGAAAAAATATTGGCATATATTCCCTTTAGTTCACTGTTTCAACTGTGTGTTGTATACACACATGGATTCATATATATCTATATAATTGGGTCCCTTTGTAAGCTCTATGTTATAGCAATAAATTTAAAAGCCACTGACATAGAGTTCTGACCTGAATTTTGAAGTCCGAAGACACAAAGGCCAAGAGGTTCAAGGAGAAGGAAAAGAACATTTCTCATTTTGGGATTGATTAAGGGTTTGTTGTTGCTGTTGTGTTTGGTGGCTTTTGAGTGGGATGATGGCTGGAGCTCGGGAAGCTACTCTTACACGCAGACTTTGGAAGTCTATACGTTGGGCATTTCCTGTACATGTAAGTATGTGTTACCCTAACTGTGCTAAAGGACATCCTCTTGAGAGGCTGTAATAATTATTTTCCTTTAAAAAGGGATCTGGAAAAAATGAGGGTGACAGCTCTGTAAATTTCTCAAATTTGATACACACAACATCATAGGATCAGGGTATATGTGTGTTAATAAATTTTACATGTTAATGTTCTCCAGAAATCTTTAAATACTTTTTTTTAGATCTTTATTTATTTCTGAGACACAGAGAGACAGAGCACGAGTGGGGGAGGGGCAGAGAGGAGGGAGACACAGAATCTGAAGCAGGCCCCAGGCTCTGAGCTGTCAGTACAGAGCCTGACATGGGGCTTGAACTCACAAACCGTGAGATTGTGACCTGAGCTGAAGTAGGTCACTCAACAGACTGAGCCACCTAGGCGCCCCATCCAGAAACCTTTAAATATGAAAAGGAACCTTGCCTGCTTGTCATAATTTGTTACCTAGCTTGAAGAATGGAGATTGAGATTTGAAATAGAATGCATCATCAGATCATCTAGCATAATACCCTCCTTTAACAGATGAAGGAACTGATTTGGTTAGGTGACTTCTTTAAAATCACGAAGCTTTCTTTCAGTAGCACGGCAGGTCTCCTGAAAATCTAGGATAAACTACAATTATCTCCTGGGGCACTGTGAACATTTAAAAACGTGACTGATGTGAATGTTGGGTTAGGGAAAGAAGGGAGATGTAGAATTATTTAACAATTCAAAGTAAGATTTTCAGTTTTTTTCCTTATGGATATCCAAATTTCTGTACAACTTTTTAAAGCCCAGAAAGCTACAGTTAAACGCAGATTATTTTGGTCTAGTCATCATGAAGAACTTCACCAGTGGACTATCAGAAGAGTCAAGTAACTTGGTAAAAGGACCACAAAATGAATGTCAGGCTTAAGGAAAATAGCATAATAAAATTGAACCTAAGTCTTTCCTTTTCCAGCTTAAAAAAACCTGGGATGGTCTAAGAAATTTTCAGAATTATCTCTAAACATTTCTAAAATAGTCAAAGGTTATTACCTTTTAAAAAGTGATTCCAGGTAATATATAAGAGAAGCAAGTTTATACCTTATGTTCATATTTCATATGTAGAAATTGAGGTGTTAACTTCCTAGGTAAATGCCACAAACTTAAATTGACAAATAATTATAATGAAGATATTCAGATTTTCATAATTATCACACTGTATCTACCAGCATGAAAAAAATCTATGCTCCTCTAAGTTAGTAATTATTCTTTTAACACATATTTACTAATTGCATATAATTTACAAAGCAGTTTGTCTGAAGTGAGAAAAAAATCAAAGGAATATAAAGAGGCAATCAGGGAATCTATCTAGAAGAGGGGATACATGAATAACCAGAGAAAGGGCAATCAGGATACAAATTGTGGTCAGAAAGGCAAAAATCGGTATAGTATTTGTTTATACTGGAAAGATCCTAGATCTGATTGGCATAAGCTACAAGGTTACTTCAAGGGTATGTATTTTTGTTGTAAAGTAGGAATATTACATTGGGTTATTCTGGAACTTAGGTGAAATATCCCATACCCATGGTCCAGATCATTATATTTCTGTTTCTGATTCTACACTCACTAAGCAGTCTTCTCATGAATAATTCTTCCAGAGATATCATGTTATTTAAAAGGAGGCATAGGTGACTCTGAGTTTTAGGTCACCCTCATGTGAGTCTCACAGACTTAATCATCTATATTGAGAGTCTAACATCTGGCCTTCAGGGGACAGTTATCAGTTTACTACCCCTAAAGCTGTAGCATGGACAGGAACTACGGTATAATAAAACACCTGTGTTGAGAGGGTCCCCTGGGAAGGAGAGACTAGAAAAGGACATTTTGGGAAGAAGAAACTACATTTACATTACAAAGGCACAACCTGAAAACAAAGAATATAGTTTTTCCTTTCTCCAACAGCAACCTGTTTTTCCAAAGTACTTATAAATTCAAGCTTTCTATGCTTGGCCTTAGCCCACAGGTGATTCTGTATTCTAGAACACAAACTGTTCATAATTCCTGACATCTGGTAGAAACAGCACCATTTATGCTTGGTAATTTACAGACTGAAAAAAGCTGAGCAGTTAAAGGATAATTTTTGCCACCCATGTAAATAATCAAGGAAGCTTTTAATCACAATGCTTAATGATGCCTTGTACATGGTAGATGCTGAAAGAATAAATCACACGGTTAACGGTGCAATCAAGCTTCTTTTAAAAAGAACCAACATTAAAGACAAGATAAATTCAAAAATTCCTATTTTAATATTGACATTGCATGTTGAAATGAAAACATTTTTGTTGTAACCATAATGATGTACATAAAGACAGTACTGTTGAACTTAGATATAAACAATTTTTTATTTCACCTACATACAATAAGGAAGCTAATTTCTACATCTCTGTCTTTTCATTTAAAAGTATACCATAGCAAGAAAAAAAAAAAAAACCTGTGGTGTTAATTATTGTATGAGTACAGATTCTGACTTTTAATAATGGGTAATTTCTATGAGCAGTGGGTGTTGTAGGTAGGTGATGAACCCTGGGAATCTACCCCCAAAACCAAGAGCACACTGTATACACTACATGTTAGCCAATTCGACAACAAATTATATTTAAAAAAAATAACAGGTAGTTTCTATACTTTT